GGATTCGTCAAGGCCAGGTAAACAGAGCGTATTGTTTTGGTTTTTTGTACGCTACATATTCATTTTGTACTTGCTAACAATTTTTCTATAGTGCTTAATAGTGCTCCTTCGTGATAATATTTTGGTTTATTCAAAAGAAAGGCGTGTATTATTTAAATATGTTTATTTCAAATACAATTTGAAATGTACAACATAAAAAACTCGGTAAAATATTGAAAAAATATAAATAGGTACAGCAAAAAATTGTGCTAATTTTGACTTGAGATCACATCCTCAAACAACTAAAGTATTAGGAAAAATAACTTAAATGCAAAATTAGGAAATGTACAAGTTAAATACATATACATAAATAAATGCTAATTAATACAATTATATCACAAAGTTATAATAATATAGATAATATTCTCGTCATGTATTGGTTACATGTTAAAAAATACCGTTGTAGACTTAACGCCATTTTCTTCAAATAAAATGTTAAATCTCTTAAAGGACTTAGCACACATATTTTCAGTTTTCACACCTTTTATGACAGTACTTACAAAACTTTCAAGTCATCAGATAATAATACAAGTCAAACATAGTCTTAAAGTTCAAATTGGTAAACAAAAAAAAACTTTTCCCTGAGTGTACAAAGTCCTTTCAAATGTTCGGATAAAATTTGTTATGGAGAGTAGTGAATCGCATTTGATCTATTCACACTAAAAAAAGTCACGATAAAGCAGAAAATATAGAAATTTGAATCAACTACTGAAAAAAATTTTTTTTTTTAAATTCATCAACTTTACGGGATAATATGGGGTAAATATTCCTAAATTTTATCAAAAGCCTCAGGCAAATTCGTAACATGCCATGTTTTTCGCGTATATTTATGCAAAAAAATGTATTGTAAAGAATTAAACAAAAATTGGTAGTTGTTCAAAATTCAAACATTTTCTGCCTCGTCATGATCTACTTGTGCAAACCTATTCAAAGGTTCGCAAACTTTCATCAAATGTACAAATTCGATGTATATATTTGCTCCACATCAACATAAAATATTTGTTTTTCGAATTGACCAGTAAGAAAAAAAAAGTAGTACAATTGTTGATACAGTCGTTTAAGAAATCATTTCGCGTTGCTTCATACAGAACCATTTTTACAGCATTTACAGTATGTGTATCATGTATGCACGAAAAGATTTTGGACCTAAATACATACTCTTCAAAAGAACTAATAAAACCACCTACCTTCCGATGAAATATCATTTCTCAGCCTTCCTCGTAATTATTCCGAATTGAACGCCTCCTTTTATACACCGCAATTGCAAAAAGGAGGTACTGTTTCGTCCGAAATGATCTTGGCCAAGGCCATTTCAAGGTCAAATCAATACATTGAGGTGACCTTGACCGTGACCTTAAAGGTCAAATCAAAATTTGGCACGTATAATATAAAATCTGCTCTCTGCAATTATGGCATAAGAATCAAGAGGTTACCTTACAAATAGCATTTGAGCTCGACATAACCTTGAATTTGAGACCTTCACAAACGGCACAATTATATGCCTAGATTTGAGCTTGAGATGACCTTGAATGTCAAGGTCATGGTTGGGCGTACATTTTTCCTCTTTCCAATGTCAGTGTAAAGACAGGGGTTTCTGATTTGGAAATACCCGATCTTAAATAATAATCAAGGTCACTTTTGGATGAGCTCTACAAACCTCACAACTACATTGACAAACATTTTTGTTACAGTAAAGCGTGACCAATGTTTAGATTTGATCTTGAGATTACTTTGAAGGTCAAGGTCATAGTAGGCCGTACATTTTTACCCTTTCCAATATCGGTGCGAAAAGGGGGTTCCATTTGTAAGTACAAATTTGACCTTAAAGGTTGTGAACAAGGTCACCTTTGGGTGACCTTCACAAACCTCGCAACTATATTTTCGAACATTTTTGCTACAGTAAATTGTAAATCTCCAGATTTGACCTTGAAACCGTCATCAAGGTCATATTCAAGAGTAAAATTCCCTGTGTAAAAAGGGGGTTCCATTTGAAGATATTCACTTTACCTTGAAGGTCATATGCTGGCTCAAAAATTCTGCAGGTTCTGTGTAAAAAATGGGGGGTTCAATTTGGAAATATTCACTTGGTTATGTTCAAGGTCATCATTATTTTGTCCCCTCAAAACCCTACAACTTTTGTTTGAAACTTTTAATAGATGCGTAGTTTTCGGAAGATTTCGGTTTTCAATTGGGTTGGTATATTCTAGCAGGATATGTAAATCAATGCAGATATTGATTTCTTAGTGGACTTGCAAGGCAAAAAAAAACGATAAATCCAAATTGAAATACACAACTTCAGATGCCAAGTGATATCCGTGAATCAAAAGCGACAACGATTTCTTAATGGACCGGCAGGCAAAAAAAAATCGATAAATCCACAAATGAAAACAATGTGTACACAACCTCAGATGCCAAGCGATATCCTTGAGTCAGAAACATAACGTTGGCACAACTGTCGTAATAATAGACGATTATTTCTCGAGGAAATTCCGATGAAGTCGCTGAGTAAAAACTTGTGTAACGTTATGGAAGTCTTTTATGAGCTAAGAGCGTATTTACAATGTGTTACACACCACAAGCTGAAGGGATGACTTAGTTTCGATTATACGGTTCAATTTGCGGGGCAAGCGTAACAAAGAAACGCGGACAGAACGTATAGAAAATCGCTCCCAGTCGATTTTGTCTAAAAATTGAGTATGTTTTTCCCATTTATCATGTAAATCCTCGATGTTTCCATGAACGTGTCGAGATGTACTAGATAGGGTACATGCTGCATTTGAATGGTTTTCCCGAAAAATTGAAAATCGATTTTACGTACACTTTCCACATTTCTGCAAATCGTAATCTCAGAAACTAATCATAGGATCGCATTGGTTCGATGAGAACTTTTGATCAGTAAGGCGATAAATATATCATACTGAATTTTTAGACAAATCGGCTGGCACCCATTTTCTAAATGTTTTGTGCGGAGTCCTTTAATATAACCTTTTCGGGATTACTTTTTCATTTTACTTCATACTTCAACATCGGACTAGAGATGGGGGACTTTCGTTTCAGTTTCAGTCCAACAAAGCCAGCTCGACCCGACATAGAACACCTGTCAGTCTTTCAGATTTGGATTATATATTACGTTTTTAAAAAGATCCCTCGGTTGTGGCTGTATAACAATATAGGAATCACTAAAAACATTTTTTTGCTGATACAACTCAAATTATTATCAATGAAATAAATACTATGTTAGACGAATTAAATGAATGCTCCAATTCTTGGTATAATACGACCATGCGGCGAATTTTTTAAACGGTCACCAGCACCTTGCATTAATAGTGGCGAAAATTTGAAGAAAAATTTGTAGAATTTTTGCAGTGCTTGAAAAAGTGTCAACTTCCACCTTAAAATAATCTAACAGAAAAAATCAAGATAAAAATTGTTTTAGGTGCTGTATCTCAGTAGAAAACGATCCTATCGAGGTTCTAAACGAAGCGTTTTAAAGCTTCAAATGTCTAGGTTTTGTATCTTTTACTGTTCCTAGGAAAATACGGAAATAAAAAAAATGACCTTTTTATATTTTTTAAACTTCACGGACTTGGAAAATAGGTTTTTCCGCTCAAATATTACAATAGCCTGTACACTTAGCTTCAGTTTGCTTTTTTCAAAACCTCTATAAGACCATTTCCGAGATATCGCATTTTTAATGAAAAAGAACCCTTTTGGCTTTGATCATCGATATCTCGGGAACCAATCATCGTACAGAAAATCTAAGGGTGGTTTCAGGAGCAGGACTGGATTCTTTAAGACGAGCTATTATTATTTATGGATTTTCATAAATTGCAAATACTGACAAAATGGGTAATGTTAGGCGACCTTTACAGCTTCGTATACCCACAATGACCCTGTAAAATTTTACTTTCATCTAACCGGACGTTTTTTGTTTTGCTAAAAGCATCAAATCGGAAATCGATTTTTTTATTTTGCAGATTTTCCTTACAAAAGGCGTTCATATTTAAAAAATAAACACGTTTATCGCTTTTTGTAAGAAAAATGCGGAAAAAACTTGAAAAATCATTCAGAAAAACTTCTGTGGAGATCAAAGAGGAATTTTACAGGGTTAGTGTGTTATCCGTAAAAGTCGCGCTTAACATTATTCATCCATTTTATGATTTTTTATGCTTTTTACATTTTTTTAAATTTTCATAATATAGTCTTCTATGATTTCAAGGTTTTCAAATGTTTCACGATTTTTAAAATTTTCAAGGTTACTTTAATTTTAAAAAATTTCAAATTTCATGACATCAAAATTTTTGGAATTTACCTAATTTTTTTTTATTTCTTAAAATGTGCAAGATTATAAAGTTTTTCAAGATTTTAAAAAATTTCATTTCATTTCAACTTTCCAATTTTTTTAAGATCTTGAGGTTTATCAAGAATTTAAATATTAGAATTTTTCAAATTGTTATTTTTTTCCAATTTTTTTAAATTTTGTAACTTTTCTAGATTTTAAAATATATCGTTTTCAAATTTCATGACAAATTTTTTGAATTTTGGAATTTTCAGTTTCTTATTTTTCAAAATTTTAATGATTTTGAGTTTTTAACGATTTAAAAAATGTCAAGGTTTTCAAAGTCGCGCTTAACATTAACCGTTTATTCAATATTTTTAATCCTTGCTTCTCAAAAAAGAACGTAATTACCCCATTTTTTTCTGTTTTCTTTTCCAACTCATATGAAAGATGACATTTTTTCCATAAACTGAGCCCAGCTTTACCTTTGAATTTTCTGTACATTGATGTCGAGATTAAGCGGTCCTACATTAAAAAAAATTATTCGGTATATTTTCTATGATTTCAAGGTTTTCAAATGTTTCACGATTTACAAAATTTTCAAGGTTACTTTAATTTTAAAAAATTTCAAATATTTCAAATTTCATGACATCAAAATTTTTGGAATTTTCCTAATTTTTTTTTATTTCTCAAAATGTGCAAGATTCTAAAGTTTTTCAAGATTTTAAAAAATTTCAAGGTTTTAAAAATTTTCGAGTTCCTCAAATTTTTGGGATTATCAAGATTGTCGAACTTTCCAAATTTTTTAAGATCTCAAATACTGACAAAATGGGTAATGTTGCGCGACTTTTACAGCCTCGTATACCCACAATGACCATGTAAGATTTTACTTTCATCTAACCGGACGTTTTTTGTTTTGAACAAGTACATGCTGAAAGCATCAAATCGGAAATCGATTTTTTCATTTTGCAGATTTTCCTTACTAAAGGCGTTCATATTTAAAAAATAAACACGTTTATCGCTTTTTGTAAGAAAAATGCGGAAAAAACTTAAAAAATCATTCAGAAAAACTTCTGTGGAGATCAAAGAGGAATTTTACAGGGTTAGTGTGTTATCCGTATAAGTCGCGCTTAACATTATTCATCCATTTTATGATTTTTTATGGTTTTTACATTTTTTAAAATTTTCATAATATAGTCTTCTATGATTTCAAGGTTTTCAAATGTTTCACGATTTTTAAAATTTTCAAGGTTACTTTAATTTTAAAAAATTTCAAATATTTCAAATTTCATGACATCAAAATTTTTGGAATTTACCTAATTTTTTTTTATTTCTTAAAATGTGCAAGATTATAAAGTTTGTCAAGATTTTAAAAAATTTCATTTCATTTCAACTTTCCAATTTTTTTAAGATCTTGAGGTTTATCAAGAATTTAAATATTAGAATTTTTCTAATTGTTCTTTTTTTCCAATTTTTTTAAATTTTGTAACTTTTCTAGATTTTAAAATATATCGTGTTCAAATTTCATGGCAAATTTTTAGATTTTTGGAATTTTCAAAGTTTCTTATTTTTCAAAATTTTAACGATTTTCAGTTTTTAACAATTTAAAAAATTTCAAGATGTTCAAAGTCGCGCTTAACATTAACCGTTTATTCAATATTTTTAATCCTTGCTTCTCAAAAAAGAACGTAATTACCTCATTTTTTCTGTTTTCTTTTCCAACTGATATGAAAGATGACATTTTTTCCATAAACTGATCCCAGCTTTACCTTTGAATTTTCTGTACATTGATGTCGAGATTAAACGGTCCTACATTAAAAAAAATTATTCGGTATATTTTCTATGATTTCAAGGTTTTCAAATGTTTCACGATTTACAAAATTTTCAAGGTTACTTTAATTTTAAAAAATTTCAAATATTTCAAATTTCATGCCATCAAAATTTTTGGATTTTTTTTTTATTTCTCAAAATGTGCAAGGTTATAAAGTTTTTCAAGATTTTAAAAAATTTCAAGGTTTTAAAAATTTTCGAGGTCCTCAAATTTTTGGGATTATCAAAATCGTCGAACTTTCCAAATTTTTTAAGATCTTGAGGTTTATCAAGAATTTAAATATTAGAATTTTTCAAATTGTTCTTGTTTTTCCAATTTTTTTAAATTTTGTAACTTTTCTAGATTTATAAATATATCGTTTTCAAATTTCATGACAAATTTTTAGAATTTTGGAATTTTCAGTTTCTTATTTTTCAAAATTTTAATGATTTTGAGTTTTTAACGATTTAAAAAATGTCAAGGTTTTCAAAGTCGCGCTTAACATTAACCGTTTATTCAATATTTTTAATCCTTGCTTCTCAAAAAAGAACGTAATTACCCCATTTTTTTCTGTTTTCTTTTCCAACTCATATGAAAGATGACATTTTTTCCATAAACTGATCCCAGCTTTACCTTTGAATTTTCTGTACATTGATGTCGAGATTAAACATTAAAAAAATTAATTCGGTATATTTTCGCCACCAAATACAAAATAGTGTTTCTAGGCAACTAACTGCATCTTTAGTGCGTTTTCTTTCCTTCGTTTCGAAAAACGGACTAAAATCGTTTATATAAAAGGTATAGGCAACTACCGCTCCCCAAAGAAAGAAAATCAACGCACAGAATACAGTCAGTCGCTGAGTGTTTCTTAGAAAAAATCATGTTTCACATTTGCGAGTAAAATCGCAATACAGCAAATACTAAACCTTTATAAATTAATAACTTAATAAATATCTTTTAACATATTCACAGAAATAAAAAAAAGCATCTAAATGCCCGTACGGTTTATAATGCAAAATGCCGCTCATAAATTTGTCTAAGAAACGCTTTGAAATAAAATGTAAAATTTCAAAATGATAGATACGATAAGTAATGAATATCGATAGTTACTTACATTAAGTGTTAAAAATTGTCACTTATTCTGATTCATATGTAAAAACGATACAAAAGTCTATTTCAAAAGGTCATTTTTTTACCTATATAAATTACCTTCGATTCAGTTCCGCTTTGATTGCTGAAAAAAAAAGAAATATGTTAATTACCAATGAGTTTCATTATAATTCATGCACAATATTTCTTTGATGCGCGATTCCTATCCAAAAACCAGAATCACCGACTGAAATTGCCGTTTTTACATTTTTCCAACATCCGCGGGTGACTTCGAAGTTGAGTCATTTATTTTAACAGTGAGTAATAATATTATGTGCTCGTGTTTGGCGACAACGGATATAATGCGCCTTATCGGTTCATCGCATCGGAAACAAAAAAGCGAAAGAATTTGGAACGATGTTTTTACAATTATTTTATTCAGTTGTATACAGTCAGTGTCAGTCGGTAACGCGTGAGTGAATAGTGGTGTCTGTTGCGTGGCTCAAACGAAATCAAAAATGGCACATGTTTACGAAAATGCTGAACTTATTTACGCGGCATCACGGATTTATGCGGATCGGTTTCCCAATCGAGTGCAACCAACCCCTCGTGCCTTTGTTAATGTAGTACAACGGGCTCGTGAATCAGGTGGCTTAAGACCTCACAGGGGACGGCATGCCGGTGCTCCAAGACCGCACGATCAAATACAGGTCCGCACTGAAATACTTGTCGGGAGGATACTTTATAAAACAAGGTAACATTTTTTTTAATTTTTTTTTTATATTTACACACATATTTTGGTTTATCTTCCTTCTACAATCATTATCTGAAAATGAATGGCTCAACTTCAAAGTCACCCTGTATACAAACCTAAAGGAAAAGAGGGCCAAACCTAACGAAAAAAAGTGGGACAAACCTAACAAAAAAAGTGGGACAAACATAACGAAAAAAAGTGGGACAAACCTAACGAAACTACTGGTACATTTGAACTACTGGTCACTTGAACTACTGGTTGTTTGAAGTACTGGTACATTTGAAGTATTGAATGATCTATCTCGTCAGATTCGCATCAGTTTGTGGCCGACAGATGGCGCTTTTGCAAAAATTTCAAAAAAAAACAAATAAAATATCTTACCATCTATAATATCCTGTTTCATTTTGCTAATTTCTTTCCTGACTTCCTTGACGATCTCGTTTTTGAGAGCGTCCAATTCAGTTGGTCCGACGGATAACGTGCTACCTTCCGATAGGCCGTTCACTTTCAGAATCGTCTCCTCCGAGGCCGATCCGAAACGTTTTCGTACGCTTTTCGGCGATTCCGCGTTGAATTTCGACGTGTTTCCCGGCAGTGTGTTCGTTTTCTCCCAGATGGCAGCCTTTTTGTCTTCCTCCTCTTTGTCCGGCACCTTTTTCTCTACCTAAACCGCAAACAGAAACTTCAACGGATAGAAGCGGCAGAGTCCGTACTTCTGGCTGTCTGTCACTAAAGCGTATGACTTTTTTGAGTAATTTTAAGATAAGCCCACCTTTTTCAAGATTTTCAAGATTTTAAAATATACAAAAATTTCAAGCTGATTACATTTTTCAAGATTTTCAAAACTTTCAGCTTAAAAATTTCTCAAAACTTGCAATTTTTCGAAATAATTGATTACCGTCATGTGGAGATGGAGTTACATCGTAACTCTTGCATCTCCACATTTTCTTATTTTTCAAAATTTTTAGGATGCTGAAATTTTTCAAGATTTCAAAAAATTTCAAGCTTCCCAAATTGTAAGTATTTCTAATTTTATGACATCAAAATTGTTGGAATTTTAAAAATTTTCGAATCTTCCAAACTTTTTTTTCAAAATTTTTAAAATTCTGTGTCTCAGGATTTTAAGAAATTTCAACGTTCTCAACATTTTCAATGTATTCAAATTTTACATCAAAATTTGGAATTTTCATAATTTTCGAATTTTCCAAATTTTTCTCATTCAATTTTTTTAAGATAATGAAGTTTCCAACATTTTGTAAATTTTCGAGGTGTTCAAAATTTTCAAGGTTTTCAAATTTTTGACATTAAAATTTTGTGAATTTTTAAAATTTTCGAATCTTCTAGACTTTTTTTTAAAAATTTTTAATATTGTGTTTCAGGATTTTAAGAAATTTCAACGTTCTCAAAATTTTCAATGTATTCAATTTACATCAAAATTTGGAATTTTCATAATTTTCGAATTTTCCAAATTTTTCTCATTCAAATTTTTTAAGATAATGAAGTTTCCAACATTTTGTAAATTTTCAAGGTGTTCAAAATTTTCAAGGTTTTCAAATTTTTGACATTAAAATTTTGTGAATTTTTAAAATTTTCGTATTTTCCAAATTTTTCTTATTCAATATTTTCAAGATTCTAAGGTTTAAAATTTTAAAAAATTTCAAGCTTCCCAAATTGTAAGTATTTCTAATTTTATGACATCAAAATTGTTGGAATTTTAAAAATTTTCGAATCCTCTAAACTTTTTTTTTCAAAATTTTTAAAATTCTGTGTTTCAGGATTTTAAGAAATTTCAACGTTCTCAAAATGTTCAATGTAATCAAATTTAAATCAAAATTTGGAATTTTCATAATTTTCGAATTTTCCAAATTTTACTCACTCAAATTTTTTAAGATAATGAAGTTTCCAACATTTTGTAAATTTTCAAGGTGTTCAAAATTTTCAAGGTTTTCAAATTTTCTGACAATAAAATTTTGTGAATTTTCAAAATTTTCGTATTTTCCAAATTTTTCTTATTCAATATTTTTAGGATTCTAAGGCTCAAGATTTTAAAAAATTTCAAGGTTTTCAAATTGTATGAAATCAATTTTTTTGGAAAACTCAAAATTTCGATTTTCCAAATTTTTCTTTTTCAAAATTTTTAATATTCCGATGTTTTTGAGATTTTTCTCAAAATTTTGAACTTTTTGATGCTTTTCAAGTTTTTAAAAAATTTCATGGTTTTCAATAGTTGGAAGACCTTAAAAATTCTAGACATCAAAATTTTTCGAATTTTCCAAATTTCAAGATTCTGAAGTTACTCAAGAGATTTTGGAAAATTTCAATGTTTTCAAATTTTATGAAATTAACTTTTTTGGAATTTTCAAAATTTTCGCATTTTCCAAATTTTTATTTTTCAAAATGTTCAAGATTCCGATTTTTTAGGATTCCAAAGAATTTCAAAGTTTTAAATTTTTATGACATCATATAATCATATCATATTTTTAAAAATCTTCTTAGAAAGTTTTTTTTCTATCGAACTTAGAAAGATGGTATTAAAAAGTTCCGACGAAACCTTTCGATAAAATGTTCTACGTAGCTACCTGTGCTCGTCTCCTGGCCAATGTCTTCGCCATCTCGTCCATCATGGACGCCATGCTGTTGCCAGCACTTCTGCCTAAAGTGCCATAATTACTGCTGCCTCCGCTGCTCGTTGACGAACCGCTGTTTTCTGTCGGAGGCGGCGTGTTCTGAATAACAAAAAATCAATTGTGGACCTTAGTAAATAACCCCCTAACAATATCACATCAATTTCATATATGTACAATGTCAGCGCATACCTTTCCTTTAATAATACAATTACCTTCTACCCTATCTATATTTAGTTCCTACCTTGTTATTCCTCTTGAGCCTGGCGTTCTGCAATTGTGCGGCCAACGAGTTAACCTCCCCACCGTCGCTGCTCTGCGATCTCGACATATTCATCGGGGGCGGTGGCGGTGGGGGCGGTGCCGCAGCCTGATTTGCTGCCGCGTGATTGGCTGATGCCGCTGGCGAAGCTCCGCCTCCTGGAATGGGAGGGAGCGGCGGCCCGGGAGGCGGAGGGGGAGCGGGAGGGGCGCTAACGGTGCGTGTGTGGCCGCTCATGGTAGGTTGCTGTTGGTGGTGGTTGCCTGTAGGAAAGCAAAGATTCTCAAAATTTTCATTTTATGATTGTCACATTTTTTAAAATCTTTAAAATAAAAACCTAAAATTTCAAGATTTTCACATTTTTTTCGATTTTCAAGGTACCCTTTATTTTTTAAAGCATTTAATATATTGAAATTGTTCAAGATTTTTAAAACTGTCAAGGTTTTCAAATTTTTTGACATAAAAATTTTTGGAATTAAGTATCAATATTTTCGAAATTTCAAAATTTTTATTTTTCAAAAATCGTTCAAGCTTTCTCAATATTTCCCAAAGTTTTCAAAATTTTCAAATGGTATGACATGAAAACTTTCGAATTACTAAAAATTTTATTTTCCAAATTTTAAAAAATTCAAGGTTTTCAAATTTTATGTAAAATTTTTGGAATTTTCAAAATTTTCGAATTTTTCAACTTTTTATTTTTTATTTATGATGAGGTTTTATCAAGATTTTAAAAATTTCCGAATTTTCTATATTTTTTAAAATTCTCTTATTTTTCAAAATTTTCAAGATCCTGGTGTTTTTCATGATTTTTAAAAAATTTCAGGGTTTTCAAAATTTCCAAATTTCGAAGTGACTCACCCGCCTGCATTTGGGGTCCCGCGCCGGGACTGGCCATGATAGGTGGCGGTTGTGGAGGACCCCCCGCAGCCGCCTGCAGCTGCTGGGGGGCCATCGGCGACCCCAAATTCGACGACACCCTCCTCTCCTGCAACATGGCCACGTCCTCTCTGGTCATGGTGCGGTACCCCATGTCCTCGTCGTACTGCGTTTGAGGTTGCTGATGCATCGGGGGCTGCGGTTGGTGCATCGGAGGTTGCGGAGGTTGGGGCGGTTGTGGGGGCTGTGGAGGGCCGTGAAGTTGTTGGTGGGGCGGCGGTTGAGGGGGCACGCTGCCGTATGGCGATGCTGCTGACGGTTGTGGCGGTTGAGGTTGACGGACCACGTTGCTCAGGATCTGAAACATGGCATTATTTTTAGAACATTACTTTCTTTCTACTGTTCCGTTTCAGCGCTCTATTTTGAGGTTATGATACAAATATATATTGGCATTAACTTTGATTTATAACATCTGTTATATCAGCCTGAAATTCCCTACAATCCGAAAAGCAAACGTAACCTCACAATAGGAGAGCGCTGACGCTGACACGGAACAGTAGAAATCTAGAAATACCCCAGCCTTTATGAAGGAGAGGAAAGACTATGAGAATCAAGGCCATAATTGCGTCCTACGATAATTGTACGAACGACGATACGGCCCTTACTTATTCTAAAATCGTTTTTAATTGCAAGTTTTTCAAAATTTTCAAGGTTTTAAAATTTAGACATCAAACTTTCAAAATTTTCAAATTTTCATTATTTTTCAAAAAGTTTACAATTTTGTAGTTTTTCTAGATTTTAAAAAGTTTCAAGGTTTCCAAAATTTTAAATGTCTTCAAATTTTGACACTAAAATTTTTGGTATTTGCAGAACTTTCGAATTTTCCAAATTATTCTCATTTTTCAAAGTTGTAAAGATTCTGAGGTTTTCCAAGATTTTAAAATACTTCAAGGTTTCAAAATTTTATGAATTTTTGGAGTATACAAAATTTTCGAATTTTCCAATTTTTTATTTTTCAAAATTTTTAAGATTCTGAGGTTTTTCGATATTTTAAAAAAGTTCAAATTTTTCATAATTTTCAAGATTCTGAGATTTTTCAAGATTTTAAAAAATTTTCAAAATTTTTGAAATCCACAAAATTCTCGAATTTTACAAATTTCTTTTTGTTTTTCAAAATTTTCAAATTTTTGGAATCGTCAAAACTGAAATTTCCCAAATTTTTTTCAACATTTTTAAGATTTTGAAGTTTTCCTGGATTTTAAGAAATTAAAGGCTATCAAAATTTGAATCATTTAAAATTTTATGACATGAAAATTTCTGTGATTTTGAAAATTTTCCAAATTTTTAAGATCAAAAATCCAATATGGCGTTTATAAGAAAAAATAAATTTGACGATTGAGATAAAATGCTAAAATTCAAAATATGCCAACTAGTACAGGGGAAAACCGGCAATTTAATATGCGTTTTATTTTGAAATTCTGATATAAAGTCCGGAAAAAATAGGAATGATTTTCATGAAATTCGGAAAAACTTGGAGTTGCCAAACTTTGCCTCCCTGCAGCCAACTCCATACCTTTTAAGTTTCTGAGATCGCAATGGTGAAAATCGAACACCCTGCAAACACCACATAACCTGTCAGACGACTCAAAAACTCGCAATTTCCCGCAAGAATAACCAATAAAATCTCACCTCTAATGAATGAAACATGGCCCTCGCAAAGCAATCCGCATCTTCTTTGGAACTAAAATTCAAGCCGTAGACCTGCTTATTGTCCCTCCATTGATGAAACGTCGACGTGGCTTGGTTGTACTTCAGACCTTTCAGAATCGCACAGTTGATTACGACCTAATACACAATCACGTTATTACTTATATTGATTTCAGACAATCATACGTTTATTGCTATTTATATACATTGTATATATCAGCCATATGGTCATTAGCTACTCGTTTAAGTTCGTTGAGCTATTTACTGATATATGCATGCTAATAAATTACGTTTTTAATAAAACCCCAAACAAAAAGTCCAGAGGAGTTAAATCCGGGGATCGCGCTGGCCAGAATACTTCTCTGGAGGCTCCAATCTGCCTTCCTGCGAAAAATACTCTCGAACTAACAAGTGCCAAAGGTAAATGTTGCAACAACTGCAAAGTATTGCAAAAGTACACTCTTATAACTTAAACTCTCAAGCTTTCGAAGATCTATGTCTTCATCATCTGGAGCTGGAAACAATTATTGACAATAGCAACAAATAACAATTAGGAGAAAAATATTTATTTACTAAGTCAACAGTGAAGGGAACAAATAGTCGACGAATAAAAAACTCGAATCGAACCTCATCAGTACAGTTTTTTATTCGTCGACTATGTGTTCCCTTCACTGTTGTTTAAAAACAATTTCAGCAACAATCTCGCCGACTTATATTATAATATTTTTCTCCTAATTGTTATTTGTCGCTATTGTCAATAATTGTTTCCAGCTCCAGACGATGAAGACATAGATCTTCGAAAGCTTGAGAGTTTAAGTTATAAGAGTGTACTTTTACAATAATTTGCCTTCTACCCAAAGAAATTAAAGCATATATCATCCAAACTCTGATTTTTTGCTCACCTCGTGGTCTTGAAGTTTCCTACCGACAACTCGAAAGGTCTGATGCTGGACATGCTGGTAAATGTGAACCTTGGAAAGGCCCGACGACGTGCCCGATGGTACCCATTTTTTGTTAACATCATCGTATATCATCACACTTGCCCTTGCGCTCGCTATGGATTGTTCACTATAATGGAAAAAACATATTAGTTCCAGGAATAATACAAATATATTTCTAGAAGCATCCATTCATAATTTGAAAAATCTCAATCTTATTTGGAAAAGGTGACCAATTTTTCGCGGATATGAGATTGCGAAATACATTTATGTATGCCTACTATGAAGTGCATATTTAAAACTACATATTTCCGATCCATAATATTAAGAATCGATTACAATGAAAAAATAATCGATTATTTTTCAACATCCCAAATAGGTACATACACGTACCAACATGCCATGTCATGCTTTTGCTAATATCATGCATCTATGCATATCGGAATCTACAAATTAATATTCTGTGGACATTTTTCGCAAAACTGCAAAAGACTCTGAATTTTTTTAAGGATCCTTTTACTTACTTCATTCTCCGTCTCTCATAAAAACAGGCCATCTCGCAGTTTCCGAGAAAAAAATGTTTTGCGGAACTGGTTTCTGAAATAATGACTTAATGACATTTTTCAGAAAGTTATTATGAAGTGTCTCCTCGATAAGACACCTGTATCAATTTATAAATCGTTTCTTTTCAAACGTTCCAATTTTTCATGTTTCAAGGTATACAATCATATTCTTCATCAATCTCATCAAATATGTCTCAAGTACAAACTGATCTATCGTGTAAAGAAAAATGCTCAAATCTATTACAAAATTGATTAACACATCGACTGTATCGAGCTGCGGAAACAGGAAGATGAAACGTTTTATATGAAACGTGAATGTTTTTCGCCGATGAGGCACCGGAAGCAAACAATAATATTATATCGTATCTTCAGACTCACTAGATAATCCCACGTTTAAAATTTTCAACATGCACATATTTTTTTTCTATTTTTTACTTCCGTGCTGGCAAGGAAAAATTTCGGAAAAAAAATATTTTTTTTTTGGGCAATGGGTACCTGAATGATGACTGTTTTTATATCAACACGTATGTTTTTCTGAATTTTATGATCCCTAAATGTACCGCCTATTTCTGCTAACCTTTGTCTGTGATGGTTCTCTGAATATTTCGTCAAGGAGATCGACTCAGTACAAACACGGACTTGAGAGTGATGCAACACAAATCTTGTGAACCGAAGTTCCAATATTATTTTCTACTTTTATGATTGTCTATTTATATATTTAATCTTTTATCGAAAACGTTTGTTCAATGTCCCTACTAATGTACATAGTAGCAGATAATAACTACTTTCTGTTTTATAGTTTTTATTCGCAATATTAACTTTATTGTGTTCATGTTATTTTTCGATACGACGAACATAGCAAGGGTACCTTTTCCTATGCTTAGTGAAGTGTAAATTTGTTTGTACATATGTATCAGCCATGACCTCTGTCCTACATCATTTTTTTTTCAAAATGAGCAAAAAGATCGATAAAATATCTACCTATCTTGAGGTTAATAGTTCCATCGTTTATGGAGTCGTAGATTTTAAAAATTCATCTTCAGATTTTGGAGGTATGAAAATTGTAAATGGTTGTAAATTGTTGCATACTTGTGTCATTAAGAACCTGCTGATATCAATGATACTATGCACCACGATCGGATCCCGCCTTTTGAAACGATTGGACTCATCTTTTTTCATTGAAACTCATCCTCTATCCAGGATATGAGACATATCTTATTTCGATAGGATCTACCTTGTGCAGAACTGATGATGGCGTAGTGTGGGAAATGCAGAGTCAACCTACTTGACGTCATTTTCCTAAAGCGTGTTCGGTTACAATTCCACGATACTATCTGCTTTTTCGATTATCAAATAATAATCCTAAATCGTATGCTTTAAAACGGCAACTTCGTAAATGCGATAAATTGTTTCAAGTCCAGGGCACGTACGATGCGTGTTCACATTTGCATTTTTTAAAGTCCGATGACAATATCCTGCGACCTTGCGTGACATCGGTTTAGTTTAATTATAATAAATGCTTCCTATGATATTAGTATCATCTTTTAAACAGACGCAAGTTGTTTTCAACGTATAGGCCGAAATCAAAACAGAAGTTGGTATTTCCGTGTTATGAAAGACGATAATAATTTAATAAATACATTAACGAATTAATAAAATTGGCATTACTACCTATCTTGCTGTCAGCACACGACTTCTGGGACGCACTTTATTTAGAATTTGCATGTACACTACTCATTATGAATTGTTAAATATTTTCCCGTCTAACAATAGAGATGCTTGTGGCTTCACGATGCTAATCATATAACGAACGTCCATATTTTCCCCCAATGAACCTGTTTTCCTTTCAATTACTACCGTGGCCTACTGAGATTCCTATGATTCATGCAACGTGCATTTCATGCGTATGCTAAGTGCAGACATGCTGATAAGCAAAACAAAAGTTCCTCTACAAGGAATCATTGTTTTGTTTAAAGTGGGGTCAACGTCTGAAGCACTACTATAAAAAAGACGAGCAATTCCATGCTGTTAATAACATCTTCGATATTTTGGAGACGAAAAAAACAACGATTAATATAAACGGCATACAGGGTGTGCCACGCAGAAGTGCAGCGACAGATTACTTGACAAACCGAGATAAATGAGAAACACGGACTTTGGTGATGCAGATATCTTTGAGGAACAGAACCGACGTTCGAATATTATCGAGAATTTAATGCTTCCATCGTATAGATAATCGTACATTTTGAAAAACCTCAGTTGGCCATGGCGGAAATAGGGCCAAGGATATTGTTGCGTAATGGCCAATTGAGATCATCGTCTGCAGTTCTAGGTGGGACACCCTGTACAAAAGATAACAGACTAAAAAGTTCAGCAAAAGACACGATAAACTTGAGCATATCTGAATAAAATTATCGCTATTACGAACGATATTCCGCACATTCCAATACTAGTTTATCCAAAGGTTTCAATAGGTTATAATTTACAATATCAACAAGCACGGGATTTGTATACGCATCGTGCTAAAAATCGTTTGCAAATGCAATTTGATATGACAAGTACTCAGCATCGTCGCCCGATGGCGCCACAATCGCAGGAGAAATTCACTATCGTGTAGTACATTTTCGTCAAAATTTCAGGTGAATCGGATTCGTAGTTTTGTTTTGACCGCGAAAAAGTCAAGAGACAAAAAAATTGCACATATTTCTATTTGCTTGATTCAAAGAACATAATAAAAATTGGCGTATCAGTCACTGGTGTATATTTTTTATATTTTCAAATTAATTGATTATTCGGAAAAGTACTCCCAAGAATTCGACGTTTAACCGTATCTGGTATAGAGGAATTGAATCAGTCGTTTTTGTTTTTTCAAAAGTATGAACGCTGTCCTCGGACTATTTTATAAAGAAGTAGGTCACCCGCAATTCAAGTGTCCGTGAATTTAAATAAAAATAGTTATCGTCAACGTCCTCTGTAGAACGTAGGTTCCTGTTGTGTCGAAAATTGTATCAAAAACCAACCGATTCGCAATGCTGTTAATGCGGAAATGTTTGTTGTCTGGTTATTTCGAAAAGTACACAAAACGGTTTCTGTTTGATTAGATCGAATCCGACGATCGTTTTGCAATGCATCAATAGCCTGGTCTCGACAAGCTAAATTATAAGAAAATCGTAGAAAATAAAATGCATTAGTCTTTAACTGATGAGACTTTTTATTTAAAAAATGTAATATGCAAATGAGAAATAGAATGAGGTTCATCACAAAGCTGTGCTCCTAACAAATTTGGCGCCTAAACACAGAAGCAGGCACTATTCAGAGAATATAGAATTAAATAAATATTCAAAGTGACAATACCAAGGATACCTTCGTCTCTCTTGCGAAGAAGTCATTTCGGCGATGCTGCAAAAAATTCACCACTCAACAAGCTGCTTTTTGCATAATTTTTTACTTATCTCTACACCTTAAAAGGTGCGCCCACGGTATTATACAAAAAACTTGACTAGACTGATGCAAGTCTACGGACTACCAGCAGTTGAGTCACTTTTCACATTTCATACTTTATTGTAGATGCACTATCTGACATTGTCTACCAGAATAAGTTGATACATCTTGTTTTGTTTAGCACTATGGAACAAATCCAGTTTTATACGTTTGTGAAGAATTTGAATATTTTTCCTAATTGTAAAAAGTTGATTTTACCTGAGGGAAAACATTTTGCTAACATAAAAGGGAAGGAAAACTGCTTTTCCCCTAACGTAAAATTGAATATTTACGATTAGAGAAAATGTTCAAGGAAAATAAACATTACATATAACAGAGACACTAATGACAGTTGACATGACATTGACAGCTGACGTGACGTGATGTCAAAAAATACAATGAGTTGTCTTCTTTACACCTTACATTTTGTGGGCCTAGGTCCCAGAATTCATAAATTCAATTTTTGAGGCTAAAAGACAAACTGATATTCTTTTATTTGATTTTCATATTTTTGTTTCTGATAATGACATTCGCAAAATATATGAAATCAGGTTTGATTGTCAAGTGACCCTACTATTGATAATATGTATACTTTGATATCAATCTCTCATCTATGGCCTAATGTAGCCATGTGGCCAATTTAAAAGAATGTATTATCAATTATGTGTTAATTAATAAGCAATTATGTGCATAATTACACATTTACAGGGGTTTTAATAACTTTCAGAAAGTAAAAGTTATTAAATGGAATACCCTGTATATTCTCATACTCTTTGTTAATCTTTTCACAAGCATTTTTTGATATGAGGTTTGTTGACTGGTTTTGAGTTATACCTAGCCCAATCAGATATCAAGTTAGAGAAATAGTTTATTTTTTAACCTTTTATACCCTGAATAAGCTATCCAAAAAGCTGAAAAGGTAAGTAGATAGAGAAAATATGAAATCATATGAAAAGTATCACATTTATCAAAAAATGTATTAGTAATACTATCATAGATATCCCCATGACTTGACAGTAAATAAAAAGTTAGTAAGGCTCGATTGATAACAACTACTTGATAATAGCAGATATACCTAGGTGAATCTAAGCAAGTTTTACCTACAAAACCAGCCACTTTCAAGTATACATCAGAAGTTTTAATGAAGATGACAAATCTAACTAGGGGAGGACCCCAAGGCAGGGTAGGATCTACTAATGCCCACTACAAATAAAAGTAACCTTGTATCCTCAATCAATAAATATATTTGGCAAAGGGCTAGTCTAAAATAAGTGGGAGAGGTAGATAGGATTCGATTTTTTCGCGAAAAAAATAGGTGCAATCTACCTATATATAAACAGAATGCAGAAATGTCATTTTCAGGAAGAGGGACCAGGAACAAGGGAAAAGTGATCTTACAGCAGTCTGGAATAAGGGTGGCAACCCGGCTGAGCGGACGTGAATAAGTTCAACACACCCAATGACTACTAAATCAATAAAAATACATGTAAATATCAAAATTATAGCCGCCGATTTTAAAATAGCATCGATCTCTGGAGAATCTCCCCCGCAGTAAACAAACGAATGCACAGAAATATCGAGATGAAACAAAAGAAACTCGCGAACGATCGCTCACAATGATTTACCGGAATCCCCTAGAGAAAAATATACCAAATCACTCTAGTAATGTCGTTTTTGAATATTGTCATCATCCGTCGAGTGTTAATATAAACAAGGATATATTTGCGGAACAGCAAAAGCCGAAACCTACCTCATCTTGCACTCTCTACCGGAAATAAGCTTGTCTACAGCGACAAATTCAACATCACTACAAATTCACTGTCTCACTATCTCGGACGTTTTGTCGCCTATTATTTTAACAACTTCATTTAGAAAATCGGTTTGCAGCGGTACGGACTGTATGCATCACGATCGTTCAACTATGATCCGCCATGACAGTACGAACGATACGATCCATGGCCAAAAACAAACTGGTCACGGAACACCGTTTTCAGAAGTGACATTGAGCGAAGCAAATGACGTATTAGAGAGAGAACGATATGCGAGACGAGAAAGATGCGAGTACGGATTGACAGATGATGTAAGGCGATTTTCGTGAAAGTGCTGCCGTCACATAGGTGGAGAGTTGAGAACAGGGGCGTATCCAGCGAAGGGAACTGGTAGACGCCAGGGCCGGATGCTCCGCTGTTCGATTTTCGTCCGCCGACGCGCAGAGTGATTATCATTTGGGTTGATATGGAAAACGAGCATATTTTCACCTACAGGCCAAACGGCTGGACGGTTTTTCACATATGAGGTGTCGTTGGATTCGTCTTAGCGGTGCGAGTAACACTGGCTGCATTGAAATTTTATAAAAAACAAAATGGTGGATTTTAATAAAAGACTTCAACCGTGTAATTCATATTTCATAGGCCACAGCTCAAACGGCTTGATAGATTTTCACATATGATGTCTCCCTTTTTGAAAATATCACAAAATATCGTTGAGAAGTGAGTAAGTAATGGTAATAACAGTAGAAAACTATGAAAATCAAGACCATAAATTGTAGGAACGACTGAAGATACGGCCCTTAGTTTTTAGTGTAATGAAACACCATATTCTCCATAACAGTTTTTATTAAAATTTCTAAAAATACTGACAATGTCTATATAATAATGTAAAATTGAACAAATATCACTTGACAAAATTTCAAATTTGTACTAACACGAGTATTTGAGACTACTGGTTTCTGTTGTCAAACTTATCACAATCTTCTAGGAATTCTCTGGAAAAAAATAGAAACCGTATGAATTTTTTCCATACAGGGCACTTCAGAACCTAAAATATGTGACCATACAAACATTTATATAATTTTTTTATTAAAAAAAATGCGTCTCTATATCCAAAAAACCGTTAGGTACCAATAAGGCCACATTGCCTTCATTTCAATAAATTTAAATTAATTTTATGTAAATCCTGATATCACGATCCTTGATTAATTACGATTGGAATGCTACAAGAATTTTACATTTCGATGAACGAATATTTGGTGACAACTGAAACGCAAAATATAACGCATTTTCCTGAAATAAATTCATTTTCAAGATGCTGTGCATTGGTGCCTTATTCGAAAAAAATTACCTAGAAAAGAAAATTCGATGCGCATCAGTTTATTTGGAGATTTTTTTATTAGTCGTTTTTTGTATTGGATATATCGAAAACGGAACATTTACAGACTGAATGGTTCATTCTTAAAATTGGTGTATTTACTTTTGTACAAATCTGCAAAGATGTTCGCTGTTAAATAAAATCATACCTAACGTATTCAGGTAATTCAGGGGCTTTATATAAGTACATGTGCATATAACCACGTGACTCAAACAGGTGGTATGTGACATTTCCTTGATATGTATCATTTCTATTGTTCACTGCTATATTGTACAGCTGAAAGAGAAACAAAAATATAAAAACCTATCACAATATATCAAATATTTCACGGCTTTGTTTCAATATTTATGAGGGCGATTTTTGGAACCATTTTAAGAAGAAAACTTCATATGTATGTGTGTCCTAAACGTCTTAGCTTTTGAGAAACAGGGTTGTGAGACTTTATTAAATAATAAAAAAATTTATCAGTATTCATTCACGAGCAGAGAATATCAAGCGTACAAAATTGCTTAAAAATCAAAATTTTAGTTCAGTTAGGAATCACACCGATTTTTGCGTCTTTTTGTACTCGTACGACAAGGTATCTACATCATTACCTGTGTAGCAAAATGGTAGGAGATGATATCGTCATCCTTGGCATGTAAAATCATTATCGGATTGTCAACATTCAAAATATATTTTTTTGAATCAAAATCAAAGTCATTGTACTTTATAGGCTCAATCATCGTGGTCCAAAACCAAGGTAAAAACGAGTAGAACTGAAAAAAACAGAATGATTGATCAGAAAAAAGTGACCTATATGTCTGAATCAACCGATCAGTTTGACAGATCTAGTTAGGCTCCAGTCAAAATGGCGCTAATTATTAATTAATTCCTGTCAGTTATTGACGTTAATATAATACCGTAAATATATATTTTTTTCTCTTGAGAACATCGCTATTGCTTTTCTCAATTCTTTTCATGGTGTTTCTAGCAATAACTATAAAAAACAACGATTTCATTTTTTTTCGTCAAAAAATGCATTCGTTTTCCATTGGCAGCAAGAAATAGATGGTGATAAAATTTATAGCACGATATTTTTAGAAATCCATATTCTTCTTACCGCCATCACCGGATGTTCTTGCATAACATCCGTAACTGAAGTGAATGGTGTTTCTAATATCAGGCCGTTTGAACTGATATTTTCTGCCTTCAAATTTGAGATTAAGTGGGTAGCCACACCCGTGCCCAATGAGTGTCCCCAAACGTATATTTTTGAGTTTGTTTGGTTTTTGAGCCATTTGTACACATAGACTATGTCCTCGACAATCGCTGTCTCTGTTAGTTCAGCTTTAGAAGAATCACCATATCCTACATAAATAAAACCACCATGTATATGAAATATTCAGAAAAATATGCTGTTGATTCTTCAACATACAGTCTGCTAACGACAGTAAAATCTAAAAAAAAAACTATTACCATGAACTGATATAAATAACTATACATAGATGAGAGATCTATGTAAGTTTTATTATGTTTATCAGTAGTTATTTGTGATATATCACTTAAATTGTCCCCAAGCTTTATTTTCCCTCAAAAACGAACTAAGATACAAAGAGATACCAAAAGACAGAAAGTTGTACCATCAGCTGTTTAGAATGAAAAATTATTACTTTATTAAAAGAAGCCTACTCAAGAATTTAAATTTCATTGAACATGGAACTGTTACCTCTATAATCTACAGCAACAATGAGAAAATACCATCTCAAAATATCATACAAATCTAACGATGCAGATCTATCCTGGCCATTGCCGTGGAGATAGAGCAGAACCTTGTAGTTTTTATCAGCCAACGCCCCCTCATAGTTATACTCATCGTTGGCGATGAAATCGCCAAGAAAATCTTGAGGTAAAATTTGCCATAAGCCTAACGTGATGTTGTCTGATATATCACCATCTCTTGGCACATCTAGATAGAAATTTCTTACTCCTTTGATTTTGAATTTCTCTATGTCCGAGTAATTCTTTGGAGAAATGATCCCTGGGAAAGATATATTTAATAGAATAGCTGAAAAGGTATGGCTTAAGATTGAGAAATAGTTCTATAGAAACATGTTGGATACGCTCTGGACTTTCCTTCATGTTATTTTCGATGTCAAATGTTATAAGATGAACCTGGTCTAGAGCATTTCACCTCTAAAAGTTATCTCAAGGTCAAATCTCAGATGATGACCTTGAATTTGGCCTTCATGTCATGAATGTGTGACGTGAATGCAAGTAAAATATTAAATACAAGCCGAACAAAGTTTCTCTGTTTATAAGATAATGATGACCTTGAACTTGAATCAACTTTCAATGTTGCTTCATGCTCAGACCATATTTAAAAATAATAAATACAGAAAATGTTATTGATTTTTGATTATTTGATTGACATGTATAATGAAAAAAATAAACTGTTTTTCTATTTAGGTATTCCTTATGAAGAAGCTAAAAATGGGCAGCTGAAGGATTTGAACTTGTATCCAACTTATAACTCGTCGATCATGTGGAATTACAGGCAGATGGAATCAGCATTTTGGACGGATCACATCCCTACTCTTGTTGGACATTTGGTGCCCAAGTATCCTCCAACAACCAAGGTAAGATATTGTAGTTTCCTAAACATGGGGCTGAGATTCCAGGTTTGAAAATGCCAAAGAATCAACGCTTAGTTACTGTCAATTATTGACTATCCTTGTACCAAAAATAGTCTTTTGTTCGAGTCTTTGCTAATAGATCTGAGATTTTTCAGAAATGAATGTAAGTACATAACAATACTTACAAGAACGCTAGATTAGTGCAAGTTTCTGTGAATTTCTTTTTATAATAATGTATTACAGGGTGCCCAAGATAAGGATCAGACTAGGTTAAATTCAGTAATAACACAATCTTACATCAAGCATTTGTTTGCAACGCCTACATAATAAAAGGAAAAAAAACACGTTTGTTTATAACTTATGAAAGACAAATTTAACATGATACATCGTTGAAGTCGTAGAAAAAGATGCTATTAGATTCAGTGTTGTACTTTTTTAAATGTTGTGCACACGGGCACATTTAAAAACACCCTCATGTAAAGCCATTAGTTTTTTGAAATTTCCTAAAATAAAGTCAGACAAAAATAAAAACGATTTGGCCAAATTTTAGTTTTTCCCAAATACCTCAGTATATGACTAATCTCTCAGTGTATGCAATGTGCGCAATTTATTTAAAAAACATAGGATGTCAACCCTAACCAACAAGTAGATGAGTATGCAGGGCTCACCTGGTTTGCTGCACATGTATCCTGTTTCCCTCAGAAGAGTTGGAAGTAGACCTAATTTCCACTTTGGGGACACTTGACACTCACGCCACAACACTAAAACACCACTACAAACAAAAATAGCTAAACCGAATACAGCTGTAAACGCGTAGACATCTCGTTGCGCCGACCGTTGCCGAGAGACTGAAGACTGAAGCGTGCGAGTGCGGTACCTCGCTGCGGCGATACGGTCAACGTAAACATCGCGTCGCTTCGGGAGCAGACGCGCGGAGTGGGAGCTGGAAAGGGGCGTGGCTGTTCTACCCGGCCGTACTGTATCGCCGCGGCGAGGTACAGCACTTGCAAGCTTCAGTCTCTCGGCAACCGTCGGCGTAGCGGGACGTCTACGCGTTTACAGCTGTATTCGGTTTAGCTACTTTTTTTTAGTAGTGGTGTTCACTATAGCGTTCTCGCTTGTATCTCAGTGGTGTTTAGTGTTGTGAAGTGTCTCCAAAGTGGAAATTAGGTCTGCTTCCAACTCTTCTTAGGGAAACAGGATATATGTACAGCAATCCAGGTGAGCCCTGCATACTCATCTACTTGTGTGTTAGGGTTGACATCCCATGTTTTTTAAATAAGTTACGCACATTGCATACACTGAGAGATTAGTCATATACTGAGGTAAATAAATAGTAGAGTAAAATGAAAATCGTTCTTCTCCTATCAATGATCATGTAATTTTTGATCAAATAGTTAATAAATATATACATATAATAAATAATAAAACATTGTTTTTTTTTCAATTGTTGGAAGAAGTCCGTATGTAAAAGTATTTTATGCTAAAAAAACTGGGCATTTATAAAAATAATCAGAGTGATTAACGTTCTTCCGCATAGACGTCAAGCGACGCAAAATGTAAATAGTAGCTTTTTTTTGTTTTTTGGCAAACATTGTTACCCTCAAGTTTTATACAGGGTGACTTTGAAGTTGAGTCATTAATTTTCAGATAATGATTGTAGAAGGAAGGTAAACCAAAATATATGTGTAAGAATTAAAAAAAATGTTACCTTGTTTTATAAATTATCCTCCCGGCAAATATTTCAGTGCGGACCTGTATTTGATCGTGCGTGGAGCACCGGCATGCTCTCCCCTGTGAGGTCTTAAGTCACCTGATTCACGAGCCCTTTGTACTACATTCAGCATTTTCGTAAACATGTGCAATTTTTTATTTCGTTTGAGCCACGCAACAAACACCACTATTCACTCACGCGTTACCGACTGACACATCGACTGAATACAACTGAATAAAATTGTACATTGTAGTAAAAACATCGTTTCAAATTCTTTCGCTTTTTTGTTTCCGATGCGATGAACGGATAAGGCGGATTATATCCGTTGTTGCCAAACACGAGCACATAATATTATTATTGAGACAGGGCGGTACTCAAACTTCTAAAGTGCTATAACTTTGTTACTTTAATTTTACCAGAAAAATGTTAAAGGAAAAAACCTTTCTTTTGATCAGATCTACTCACTGTTAAAATAGATGACTCAACTTCGAAGTCACCCTGTATATCTCTATTGGTATCCCTCAATATACAAAGCTACTTTTATTTATAACATTCTAGCAAAATTGTCCTGATGTCAAAAGTATATCAAACATTAGGAAAAAAATACGAGAACCATACTCACATGTAGGAAAAATGATGCTCCTCTGTATGCCGATGCTATACTTAAACACAACAGGCACAATCACAAATGCTATGATGAACACGAGCACAAGAACGATCGATCTGAAAAAGTGGGACGTTCAAAACACCTGTTACAAACACTAGTGAGAAAAATCGATTGATAAAGTAGGCTTACATGTACAGAAAGGTGCCAAAAACACACTTGACGCAGCATCTTGATTTGCTCATTGGACTCTATGCTGAAGAAAAAAATGACGCTCAATAACGAAGAAATGCACAGTTTCAGGCACAATGATATAATAACGAAATAACGCTAGGCGCATACGTACCTTTTACATAAAAAATTTGAAATCGAAAGTGAAACGCGTCACCAAACATACGTTATAATTATGTTAATTTTAGAGTCAATGTATCTTGGCGAACTTATTGGTCCATTACTCGCCACCGGCTAATGCCTGTTTTAGCTATTAGGAATTAGAAAGTGTATTTTTAAACGATTTGGATGTCGTGTAGCGTTTACATAAGATCATTTATTATTTGTTTTTGTTGACAAGATCACAAACACTAGGACTAAGCATGAGCAAAATCAACAGTTACTTATCAGTTGACATAAGAAATGTCACTTTTGAAGAAATGTCACAATAACTAATTAACAAACGGGTGGAGGGTCACGTGATCATCAAACCACGCCCAATTTTTGACACCATATTGCAACGGAGCTTCCGTCTTAATTTTTGTGTAAAGGTTTTTACGATTTAAGTGATTCGTTAAAGTATTCTACCCGAAAATAGGCAATCATATAACGTATCCCGGCGCCCAAAAAGGGATCTGAAATATATTAGCGTTGTCTATGGAAAAGTAGCAGAATACAATGACAGAAATCTATTTGGAAAAGAGACAGACTGTTTGGTTTTAGCGGTAGATAGCGCGAGCATCTTTCAGACCCCTTTTTGGACGCCGGAATACAATGTATTATAGGCTTTGTAGGTAAATCAGGGCCAGAATTGAATCGTCTTAGCAATTTCAGGAGGCACTCTATGAAAAATGAAATCCAGCTTGTGGAGAATCCTGTGCATGAATAATTTAATTGTCGAAAATGTTTTCTCCATTTAATTTTTGCCGAGTTAGTAACCCTCCCCTTGGTACGTCCTTGGCGTTAAATCCAAATATCCTGAATCCGAAAACAATAATTTTTCCTCCAGGCCTATTGAAAATATTATGGCCAAGTCAATTAATGTTTAAATGAAACACCAGTTCTACCTAAAATTATTTATTATACGAAAAGCGTACACAATACTTTAACGATTCAAAGTTAGATACATAACTTTGCTATACATATGTAGACATAATCACAGCCTTTTAATGTCTTTGATAGAAGCCTTCAAATTGTTAGAGCACCTTGACGGGTACTAAGGAAATGTTTTTTCCTATGAATTGCCTAAAAAAAACCACTTTGAATCAATGAACAAAACATACATTATTTTGCAAGTTCGAAGTACTATTTTTTTTAATATTACAACTTACATGATATAATATTTCAAAAATGGGTCTTGATATATGAAATAGTGGTTATATTCTAATGATGCGTCAAACTCATGGTATATGGACGTAGCTGCAGTGCCTGTTCTATTCGAAGAAATTTCGTATAGCTGGAAAAAAGAATTCCTCAAGACAAGCATATTTAACAAGCCAATTTTGAATTACCTTCCGTCCAAACCTGTACGGCACAACAGAGTCATCTTGAGCATGTAAAATCATTACACTACATTTGATTTTTTTCAAGTAGGATGATGTGTCAAATATGAAACCGTTCTCGCGCAGTGGTTTGACAACAGTGACGTAAAACCACGGCAGCCAAGCGAATATCTAAAAAAAGACAAGATTACTAAAAAAAATATCTGGCACACTAATAAAAATAAAACATTTTCCCGAAACAGCAAGGTGAAAATACGTATTTTGTATCTGTATTTCAGATACTTGCATCTTCAATAAGCCAGATCTCATACCTTCCCATATGGGTGGACGTACAGTTCATCTTCAAAGCTAGTAAATGCAGATTCCAAGATCAGTCCTTTAGGTTGTAAACCGTCTTTCTCCACTTGAAGCACTGTGTTTGCGGCCAGTGATGATCCCAAAGACTGACCCCAAACATAAATGTTTGCTTGAGTCTTGTTGCGAATCCAAGAATATAGCTGCTTACAATCATTCACAACTCTTGCTTCTGTCAAAGTGCCTTTTGAGGAATCTGCGTAGCCTAAGAAAACACAATTAGAAATGATACGCACAGCTGAATATTTTTTCAAATCTATATTTTTCGTCGATTAAAATAGTTTTTTTTAAATTTTTCGAACAATATTTGATGTATAACAAAAATGCATCGAACCTTAAAAATCGAAATATCTCAAAAACGGCTAACTATAACAGAAACCTCACTGGAGAGCTTTTTTATGTTGAAAAGAGCGAAGAATCAGTTTTTTTATTCAAAAAGCAAAAAATTGCACTAAGAAAAATTTTTCGCTCATTTTAATACACTACAGGTACAGTAGAGAGCGCCCTCTAACGGCTACAGTAAAACTATGCCCATGGTTCGTTTTGTCGTACCAAAAAACCCTTGTATAGCAATTTTCACTGTTATACATCAAATAGTATTCGAAATATTTAAAAAAAAACTATTTTAGAAAGTAAATTGAAACACCCTGTACTTCGGAAGAAACGCATTTTTCGACCCATGTTTATATAGACTTTATGCATTAATTTTAAAAGTTCTATCGAATCTTAAAGTTATGCAACAATAAACTGAAACACCCTGTATATAAGCTGCCATAAAATGTATATGAAACGCTCCATTTATACTAAGCATAATGGAATTCAGCTCTTTCCACGATTTCTGGCGGTTAGTTAAAAAATCATATGAAATAAATAAATATGTCTATAATATATATTACATGGTAATATAACGCATTTTCTTTGATGTAAAGAAAACTGGTACTTTTAAAGTACTTGTATGTTTGAATTACTGGTATATTTGAACTACTGGTACAGTTGAACTACTGGTAGATTTGAACTACTAGTCATTTGAAGCACTGGTACATTTGAACTATTGCCACATTTGAAGCACTGGTACATTTGAACTATTGCCACATTTGAAGCACTGGTACATATGAACTACTGGCACAAGCTGATGAAATGAACAATTTTATCACATAATTTACAGAACTCCTTCGTCCCCTGATAGAGCAAATTTTGAGTCATTAAATTAAAATAACAAAAATATGAAGTGAATTGAGAAAACTCACTTCTGTAGTCAAAAGCAATGACGTGAAAATAGTAGCTCAACAACTGATATTTTCTGGAACTATCAGACCTTGCTTCGCCTGTTCCATGAAAATACATGATCACATCGTATTTTGTATCGGCCAGGGCTTTGTCAAAATCAAAATTGGTGTCGTTTAGAGCTACGAATGCCGTTTCTACTGGTAAAATATGCCAAACGCCCAAAACATGTTTTGTAATTCGATCCAAATCTAATACTGGTACATACAGATTTCTGTAAGCAGGGAAGTAGTATTCTGTGAAATAACTAGGCATGTTTGGCAGACCACCTAAAACAAAAACATGTATTTTATAGAAAGTATAAAGAGTAAACTCAATAAAAAATCAGGATCCAATCCATGACGGTGACAATAGAAATTGTAAGTGAATGTTCCAACATAGTATACAGTTGCACTCACCATGGGTAAATACAATCTTCTGTTGAATACTGAACGAGTATTTTACAACAAGAGGTAGCACTATGAAAAGAATTATCAGGACAGCCAGAACAAGACATACTAGTCTAAAAAAAGATCCACAATAAACTAAGTACAGAAATCCGGTTATATTATACTTACAAAATGATGAGCCAAAACATGAATAATTTTCTATGCTCTTTTTTAAATAAGTTATTTCTCATGTCACCACTCTGTCTTTTTTCGACCGCTATATATGCGGATGACCTTGATGGCACCATATCTTATAATTATTTATTTTATCTACATTACACAGGTAATTTTTTTATTCAACGATTCATCAACGGTTAATTTAGGAATTCGTTTGAAAATCTGGTTAAACCCGGAAGTTTATGATCATTTCATTATTATAGGTTATGTTTACTGTAAAACTGTCAAAATTGTCTTGCCACGAAAGCGGCGGAATCTCTTAGATAAGGTTTAAATTTTGTGCAGAGATCTGCACCACTGAACGGCTTTGTTAATTATGCTTCTGCTAGATGGCGGATCAGCTTTGATTTGGTAATTTTTGTGGTCTTGTTCACGGCTCGTTAGTAGTTGTACTAGTGAAAATTGGAGTAGCTGCCATTTCACAGATTTCAATATTCAGCTTCTTTATTGAGAAAATAATAAATTATAAATCTGTTAGTTAGTTTTCTTTATTAAATTAATCTTGATTTAAAAACGAAATCCTAGATGTCACTATACAAAGATTTTAGATTCCCCTTTCTCGATACGAAACGAAGCAAATATAAATAGTCCAGTTAATATTTTTTTGAGGTTATGGAAACACTCATTGAAGGACGAAAATTTCCCACTTTTCAAACTTATCCCACGATCGCTCTTCAGTATTTTGAATCTGGGCGGGTATTGGCCATACTATAATTATTTTACTGTGACAAATATTCTTTACGTTACACCTGCACATGCATATTAAGGAACATACATCTTAATATACCTATATAAAAGTTGGTGAGTATATGAGAAAGCAGCACTGATATGGTCGTACTTTCTGAGATCCTGAGTCAATCTACTGTTTTGGATTTTTTGGAGTTTTCTTGCGGATTGGCTGTCCAAGAAAGGAAAACATACTAAAAGGAAGTATGCAAACCTGGATATCACCTAACAATCGCGCAAAAGTCTCTTGACTTAAAAATCAAGTAACTGTTCATTTGCATATAGCAATCTAAAACTACATGGCAACTTTTGCTTAGATTATTTACATGGTGAATAATTTTCAGGCTCTGATCAAAAAGTACGCCTAAATTTCTTGATGATTCACCAATTTGTATGCCTTGTCCTTTTAAAGATATCAATTCTTCATGACTTATTTTACAGATTTCAGATATAAATTATGTTGTCTAGCATAAATATCTATGGCTTTTAAATCTTCAATAAGCTCTTGATGGGTTTGGTGAACATAGCCTTCAAAGTGGTGATAAAGTTGGGTACCATCAGCAAACAATTGTAACTATTATATACCAGAATTTATAGGGCTTTCACAGCTTGTTGAACGTCCGCCTGTTGACATTGCTTTTAGTCGGAATAGCAGGTGCGTCTTTAAAAAAATTCTACCATAAACGCCGCACAATAAAACAAAACATGTTTGGCCCAGAAAGTTCAGTCCCACGAAGAGAGACTCGGCGCTAATGATCGCACGTCATGATCCAGTTTTTATAAACCGATAGAACCCCCCTGGCGAACAATACATCTTTGCAGATTATGCATTATTTGCTGATGATGCGCACATTTCTTAGCGGATGCGGTTTAAGGTATCTATCGACCTATATGGCGCCTATGCGGCGCGTGTGAAGCGCTACAGGGTGATCACTCGCGGCAATATCGACGAAAACAAAATTATAAATAAGTGAAAATTAAATTGTTCAGAAGAAAAGGATATATCGGAAAAATTGGACACACAGATAGAAAGTACAGGTATGTTTTTTTTATTAAAAATCCATATAATACAAATGTACAAAAATAATTTTGTATTCGACACTATAATGTAATAGATAATCAGCCAGTAAAATATTTAATCTATAAAATATACCTATAGATATTGTTGACATTTAGATAATATAAATTAACGAATATACTAATACTTCCGCTGTAATACTTGACCGTATTACTTATGTTGTTTTATTTGACATTTTTTCAGCACTTATGGCTCATATTGATGATCTTACCAAGGATGAATCATGAATAGAAGGCATATACGATGTATTTTCAGTTTTTTTAATTATACCTTATATGGTACATATTTTTACTGGTGTATAAATGAGATTCAGTCTGAATTTTATAAACATGATATCTCAAGAATGCAACCTGAGATACCACCTAAATATGCAAGTTTTCTTTTTTCACCATACATCATTAAAATGTAATTGTTTGACACAAGATTCTGAAGGTTCTTAAAAAATCTAATACAAACGACTCTACTAGATACTATTACGGTTTTCACACGGAGAAAAATTCCCCAAAAAAAAAATCATTCATTCTCTTCGAAATCATCTTCACCATAGTCGTATTCCATTTCATCATCTGCGACGTCCAGGTACTTTCCTCCATCTTGAGAACATGCAGTACATCTGCGAAAAAAATAATGATGAATCATCAGAAAATACCCATGTAGCCCCACATTAACTGAGAACCAGTAAAAAAGGCTCTAAAGATGCGCGTAGAAAGAATTGAAGATCATATCACCATCTATGAAACTTTATCTGAACCAAATGCTCTAGTTTTTTTAAAGTAGATTTTCGTGTTCTGCTACTATCCCGTAGATGGAGCTAGTATCTTTCAGATCCATGTCTGGGCACAGGAATGGCAGACAGTCCTGTTCAAAGTCGATATCAGGAAACATGAGCAAATTATTGGTATGAAGTGTTTGTACCTGCTCTCGTTGATGCCATAATTGACGCAGAACTGCCCGATACATTCGCAACAGCCGTCGTGGAACCACCTGTAGCTCGACGCGCCCATCGACTGGCAGCTGCTCTTGCACTTGGTCCAGCTCATGCATTGGGACCAAAAGGCCACAGTGCAGTTCACTGTGATCACATTCTGTTTGCTGGGCACCACTTCTTGCTCGGCGCTCTCTGAAAAATCACTGAATTCACCTCAAGCCATACACTAGTTATACCAAGAGAAGAAAATTGCTCACAACATCCAAACTGGCATTTTTGTGTATTGGTACGACTCTCGCTATCTTTAGACTTTGAGTAAAAGTACTGGTTGCGATAAGATTTTACATGAATGAACAGCAATAAGATTTTTAATCGTGTTTATTGTCTGAGAATTCAGATTGTACACATCCTTGCTGTTCGAATTTTTTACACCGGTAATGGTGTCTCTGACTTGCCGAGCCCGTTGTTTCCTAAAAGTCTAATATTTTTATAAAAATTGAATATCGATATATGAACTATTATATACTATAATGTATTTCAAAAAGAATAAGGGATATTACTTCTGAGATTGACGACAATTTCTCTTAAAATACTTACGCATCTTTATTTTGATCTCCTTCTTGGGTCCGTATTGACTGTACTCTATGTCAACAGGGAAAGTTTTGACATCCCACCGTTTCAGAGTATCCGGAACTTCAGTGAGAGCTGAAAAAAGTCCGGGAATGCCTTCGTTAAAATCCTCGACGTGAGACTTCCTGCCCAAGGCTGATGCTCCTCCTGTATCGTTGGGCTTCGGACACATGTCTGAAAAACCAAAAATAGGGTAAAAAGGGCGGACCACCAACCGTGTTTTATAAATACGAATAGTAACTAAATGGCACATAGTATCGTTTGGTCATGACCTACCGACACAAGAACAGCACTCGGTGTACAGATAACTCAAACAGTTGAAACAATCCTTGCAGCACGTGCAGTTCTTGACGTTGCAGTTGCACGACTTGGTGAGCAAGCATTTGCTGACGACGCTGCCACAAATCGCTTCGTTGCAACTTTCGACGTGCTGCAGCAGAAGGAAGAGACTGGCTGCCAGCAGGACGGTCACCGGAAGAGCTACGCGCAACAGCATTTTTTGATCTGAAAAAGAAATTTCGATCGTTTGGTAACATTTTGAAGGCAGGATCCCCCTCCTTCTGAGCAGGGGTGATCTGATTGTTGTATGAGTTAGTGCTCTTTAAGTGTTTGTGCTCTTGTTTGACGAGTGTTCTGCGGCGCGGACAGCAACAAAGACAGTCCAGCTTGACAGATATAAGGAAAACCCATATACATGCTAACAGTAATTACACAAAACGCGGGCGCCGTGGTGATTTCCCGTAATTCTCCTCAAACTTTTTGAAAACACAAAAAAAACTGAAAAATCGTAATTTATATCTTTGAACATAACCTATATTCAGAAAGGGCAACATGTAAATAAACCGTTGGGCACAGCTAAGAGAAATTCTTCATAAGTGATAATTTTCTCACATAGCAAATACAACTGATTATATACACATGCAGGCCAATAAATATAATCATTCAGATGCGGTCTTCCTACTCAACCAACTTTCTTTCTTTCACCTCTTCTCAGAGATAAATACTACTTGGGTGTATGCAACCAGCAATGCATGCTTGAGCGTCTCGTGTCGTTGAGTCATTCCTCAATAGATGACGCTGCCTAGTCTGCAAGATGACATTTTGACGGTTTTTTGACGTTTTTTACATAATACCCCTACATCGTTAGTTGGTCCTTGGTTTTATAATTATGCATCCCCAGGGATTTTGTTGATGATGTTAATGTTTAACGCAAGATTATACTTTAGGTCACATTTGCCACGAGTATATTGTTCATAGTTGTAATTCAAGGAGAAAAAATATGCGGTGAAGTTACAACATACATAAAAAATGATTTGCTACGTGAATCTCCACGCATACCTTTTAAGTACTAAAAATAGATATCTTTACAGTGAATAGAAAAACATCGCGATTTTTTCCACGTGTAACGAAACATTTATATCAGATTAGTGTAGAAATCCTAAATAAATAACTAAAGTATGAGATAAATCTCAATAGGTAGGAGAAAGAGGACAAAAAGTATATTAACGCGACCAGACAACGTTAATGATCATGTCTCTCACAACATCCGTTTATTTCGTAATTACGAAAGTGAGGTTAAATACCTCCATAAATCTTAGGAGGCAACAATATAATGGACATAATCCTCCAGGTTTATACCTAAAAAACTACCCTAAGAACATCTAAAGGATAAAGGTCCCAGCATTGATGTACCAATGAGCAATATAAAAGGGGCATTATTTATGGTTCTGTCAACCACCCTCTCTGTTTTATGAAGATGAAGACCACCAACAGCTTAGGACCAAGAAGATAATTAATAGACAGTGGCGTCGGGGACATCAACATGTTCCAGACGGCTCGTATTTTTATTACAAGCTTTTTATTATTATTAACTTGTGTGTTAGAAATCTTGGAACTCAATTTTGGATCACTTAACCTTAACCAAGCGAGCTGAAATTTTATATACACGTTCGGTTTGCGTGATAATGCAACATAAATTAACTGCCGCCATTTTGAATCCAACATGGCGGATGCTACAAAATGGCGATTCATCATTTCCATATATCCTATGATATGGATATCAAATGAGAGGGCATGATGAGAGAAACACAATAGGCAGAGATACGTCATTATAAATTCAATATGGCGGCGGGCGCAAAATGGCGATTTACATTTTTCTTAGTCACCCCTATGATATTCATTCCCTTCATTACTATTTAAATATTTGTAAAATGTATATTTAAATGTTTAGTCCATTTTATTAACAGCTAAATAATAACGTGTTTTTGTAAATGTGTTTTTATTTATCTTTCTGAAAGTGAAACTACACCCCTAAAGTCTTATATGAAACATTAGAGAGTTCTGACAATCACAAAAGCCACATAGATAAACATTCATGATAACTTATAATCAATAGATTTCTCATGACAAATATCAATGTTGAAATTTATGTATGCACTATTTATTTAAGGCTTTCTTATTTTGATGATATTTTATTTGTCTTGTCACATCTGGTAAATTATTAATTTTGTTGCTGTTTTTGTGGACAGAATCAAAATGAGTAAGGCTCTGCATTTCTTGGAAATGATATTTCACAGCCTCCTGTCACTACTAAAATAAGCAGCCCTCAATTATTGCTTAGTGAAAAATACATGAATCCTTTTTTAAAATCAAATTAAGGCAAAAAGTTTTAGGATAATTCTGTTAAAGCCTGCTATTTTAGATAAAGATAAAAGGTAGGTAGGTATTATAAATACTTTCCCTACAGATACGACAGTGATATTAGCAGACCCGACGACCCTCAAACAGAGTTTCAGGTAACATTATTCGGAATTTCGGAGGTACAGGTAATAATCTGTATCTGTCAAATCTACATCTTACCCGTGTCTAACAAGGAAACGATAATTCATCCGCATTATTTCGTGGAATGTCCTGCTAAGTAATTTCATCTATAATAACATGCAGGTGATGCAGATCAATTAAATATTCCAAACATAATCAACACACAACAAACCTGCTTTTATCCGCGTCTGTTGATGCTTTCTAATACTTTCGCAGCAACCTTCACACTCCGAATTACGGCGTAAAATAGCAAAACTTAAAACTGCAACTCCTAGGAACAACTCATTCTCAAAAATATCTCCCGTTTCTCAGCAAGGTATGCGCGTATGTAAACAATCGAACGGCGAGTTTACTTCACTTGTTTCATTGGCGACTTGATCACGCAAATATGCCGGAGGCGTTTTCGCTACCGAAAACTCGACTGAAACAAAGTGGTACCCTGTTGTACCTGCAATCCCAGGTCACTTTGCTCTGCGGTGGTTCTTCCAGGTACTAGAGATAAGGTGGTTCTCGACGGATGAGAAACCTAACCTCGAAAATCGGACGGAAAACTCGTTTGGCCTCTCCAAGGAGACGGATACTGAATTGATTCGAAGAACACCGCGGTACCACGGCTGTTCTTAATTGAAAGGTAGGCGCGACAGTGGTGGAGGAAGCTGGGCGGCTGAAGGGTATTCTCGAAATCAAGGAGGCCATAAATGCGTACTACAATAAATTATTGTAGGAACGACTGACGATACGTCCCTACATTGGTATGGGGCTAGCTAGGGGTATTTCAAAGTCTTTGGAGATTCCCAAAAAATGTTTTGTTGTCCAGATCCGACATAATACGTGCAAGAAAGGGCCCTGTATTTTTTTTAGGATGTTGTTAATAGATGCTTGAAAAATATTTGTGGACTTTGGCAATATTAAAATGTTTGTTTTCTATATACTTATATATTCAAGCTGGAAAATGACGTTTTTTTACCATTTTCAAGTATCAATTCGTTTATATCTCGAAAAATGTAAACCTTAGTGAAGAGTTAATGGGAACCTCTTTTAGAAATATAAAAAAAAACTTTATCCGGAGTTGAAAAATAATTGTTAGAACTCATTAAAAATGAAAATACAACTTTTGTGGCAGTTTTGAGCGTAGCGCTTCAAAAGTTGTAATTTTGAATGGTATACAAAAAATCTTAATCAGAATATTTTTCCTAGCGGATGCAAAGATCCTTCCCGAAAAAGAAATACGAATGGGTTTTCGAAAAACTTCTCATATAAGAAACCTAAAGTACACCAATATTGATGCTTTTGTAACCATGAGAAACCAGATAATAATAACAAAAACAACAACGTTTATTGGTTTAGCTACAAAGTTTTCGTATGAATAATATAGTGTCCAATAAACGTAAGGTACCCAAAAAAGTACGTATACATTTTACGCTAGGGTTTAAAGTGAACTTATGAATTATTATATATACGTAGTTTCATCAAAATCCAACGTACATATCAAAAAACATAATATTTAGATTTCTGAGTTTTTGGGGATTTTTATTATTCACCTATTAAGGTTAGCCGTGAAAGCTGTGGACTTACTGAAAAAGCGGAAATGCAACGCTGCAAATTGTTCGTCCGTTTCTGCAATCAAATAGTTTATCGTTATCTAGATGGCCATGAACCATATTTTCTCATATGCCGAGTTCTAGAAAACAATTGGCTACATCCAAATGGTCCGATGGCAACAGTACATGTTTCTCAAACGGAGGTCTCGGGTTCAAGACCGAAAGCACTCCGTTTGTTTCATTTTGATTTAATTTTTCTCTGTAGTACACTTTTTTGCTTTGTTGATCAAAATATATTTGCATGATTTTCTTCTTATCCTAGATATGAGACTGTCTTAATCAGAGATACGCGCTTAGGTTTTTGTTTACCGAAGAAGAGCGACTATCAATTTTTTGTGCTTTGGTAAAGGATAAATGTTCCTGTTGCCTCAAATTTGCATCGTGTTACCACCCGACAGCCTCTCAACAAACGTAATTGAGGGGTCCAATGCATAAACCAGTCAAGTCACATGAGTAAAAATGTCGAGGAAACAAAAAAAACATTTTTGATGTAAATTCTTTACTTACTGAAAGTTTTCGTATTTGTTGTGAATTGCAGATAATTCTGCCGCATTACTTTTTAAATATATAAATCCGTGAATAAAAAAATAAATAAGATATGAGGGAAAGATTAATGGACTTGACTTGTCTATGCAAAGTTTTTGGATTTTTTAAGGGATAAAATTAAAACAACCTTTTTTGGTACTTTATATTCGTTGTGCACGATACTTAGTATTTACCTGTACTTTGTGACAATAAACATTATTATAATTAGTCTGTCATTAAATCTATACAGTATCCGACCAATACTGTAGACAAACTAAGATTTAAAAAAAAATCGCGATTTGGATGGCGGATGGGCGATTCGGTGTTGTGATCCTTGTTTACTGGACTATATCCTCCGACTCGTTTCGTATCGAGAAAATATGGTCTAGTCAGTAGTCACTTTATTAGATAAGATGTTAATTATTTTGATGACATGTATGATGTAGTAGACTGCATTCAGCGTATGTTTTTCTCGTTAAGCGAGTCACAGGTTGACTGTTTATGTTTGGATGGGATTTTTCAAAAACTCTGCAAGTTTCTTTTGATTTGGGGCCTTTGGATAAATAATCGGCCCGATAAGATAACATAGCCACGCAAGTCAAGTATTGAATCATACTCTACTAGACTCTAGAAGCTTATCCCTGGCGAAATTTCTCTCGAAGTCGTTGCACACCGCTTAAAAAATGCAAATGAAAACCTGAAAACTACCGCCTTGACGTACTAGATGGCTACCCCGGGATAGACATACGTTTTGGCAGTTGATCATGTTATTCTTGTCACTTAGATTGCGGCGTTGCCAGCTCGTCGGACAATTTTGCTACCTCTGCTATTTTGCTAGAATGTTATAAGAAAATAGGCCTTGAATAATATATTGAGGGATACCAATGGAGATATATAATAATTGAGGCATAGCAGTGTTTGACAAAAAACTAAATTAAACAAGCTGTTATTTACATTTTGCGTGCGGCGGAACGTTAATGCGACTCGATGTTTACGTTGATCGGGAGCAGACGCGCGGAGTGGGAGTTGGAAAGGGGCGTTGCTTTACTACCCGGCCGTACCGTATCGCCGCAGCGAGGTACAGCTCTCACAGGCTTCAGTCTCTCGGCAACAGTCGGCGCAGCGGAATATCGATGCATTCACAGCTCCGTGCAGAGCTCTAATCGGTTTAGCTACCTTTTTTCAGAAGTGGTGTTCACTATAGGGTTCTCGATTGACTCTCAGTGGTATTTTAGTGTTGTGACGTGGGTGTCAAGTGGAAATTAGGTCTACTTCCAACTCTTCTGAGGGAAACAAGCTATCTGTGCAACAAAGTAGGTAAGCCTTGCATACTTATCTACTTGTGTGTAAGGGTTGGCATCCTACGTTTTTTTAAATAAGTTGCGCAAATTGCATACACTGAGAGATTAGCTATATACTGAGGTATTTGGCCAAATCGACTTTATTTTAAGAAATATCAAAAAACTAATCGCACTATTTAGGCACTACATGATGGTGTTTTCAAAGTACTACCCTGTATCTAATAGCATCTTTTTTTACGACTTCAACGGTGTATCACGTTACATTTTTTTAGTTATAAACAAACTTGTTTTTTCTACTTGAAAACAAATGCTTGATGTGAGATTGTACATTGACAGTATTTCACATCGTGCTTTGAAACTAAGTCCTTGGCACTGTGTTTACTAAATATGGTGCAAAAAATCAACCGTTGATTAATTGGCGTTTTCTAATTTAGCCTAATATCTGCGTGTAAGACAGATTTCCATATCTTGCAAAGTCAGAATAGGCTTTCATGAAGAAATGGCAAAATCATTCGATGAGCTGGCAACGCCGCAATGTAGGTGACAAGAATGACAAGGTCAACTTTCAAAACGTATGTCTATCCCGGAGTATAGACGGAGTCATTTAAATGCAGTTCCAATCTCATTTGCATATTTTTAAGTGTTGTGCAAGGATTTCGAGAAAAAATTAGCTACGGATAATCTTCTAGAGTCTAGTAGTGCATATTTCAATAGATGTCTTGCTGGGCCATGTTGTCTTTACTTGGGCCAAATAGTCTGTGAAAGAACTCTTTCATTCTTTGGTACCTCGCTTTTCAAAGTTAAGACCAGCCGTTCAGTATTTAGTATGAAGTCAAAAATGGATTTCGAACCAGACGATAATCCTTACGTAAAATTGGAAGAAACTTATCTTGACTATGTAGCAGATTACGATAGGTATGATATGCACTTATTTACAATTCCATCATTCTCTTCATTGGGCTACAATGTTGTGTGTGGCATTTAATACCAATACTAGATTCTATACTATTTTCTTCAGTCTTATGCTGGATTCATGTATGCTATATCGTCGCCTAAATGCAGAACTATTGCAAGTCCAAATACTCCATTTTCCGGAATTTGACACGACGTTTTAGCTCATCTCGGTCATCTACATTGGCTGCAGAGGTATTGTAAGTCGCTGAGCAAGCTTTCTCCCACCACTGGTGCATCAGTTCGCTTCAGAACTATGATAAGAGCAGATGCTAATGTGTGTAAGCAGATAAACGTGAACATAGCATAGTTCTGTTCTATCACAAATGGACATACAGTTGGTTCACGAGCACTGGCACTAGTTCTGACACTACATTGTTTAATTATTGAGAACATGGCCACTAGTAACCAAAAATTTTTCATCTCATACTTTTTCCAGTCAAGCATTCTATGTCCAAAATTTCTCAGAAATGTTAGGCAATTGATTCTTGCTTAATCAAACTTGTTTTTTTACTCAAATGCGCCGCTATATTTAAAAAAGTTGTAATGGATTCTCTTGGAACATGAAAAATAGCTCTCCTGTAAAATTTGCATTTTGTGACTTCTGCATTCAAGCAACGATATACCCTTTTTCACGAGTATCCATCACAGTAGAATGACAGCTGATTATCTAGTAATATCTCAAAATTCCCCATATCGGCACAGGACACATTCTGACAGATCTGTCAATGTCAGGTAGTAAGAGCCGTATTTTGTTTTGGTTTTTTGTACACTTGTACACAAAGAAATGAAAGTAAATATTTATTAGCAGTACAGCATGCAAACCAACATTGTTTTAGTGTCAAAGATGAACACTGGGATGGAGTTGACAATGTGAAAATGGAGAATCAATTAGAAGTTGAAATTAAATCCGAAATATTGGATGCAGAACAATCTGTGGAGAACATAAAGTTGGAAAAGATCGACGCTTCGGCGCCGAATGAAGACATCAAATATGAATACGATGAAGATGTATCTGATTCACAATGGAATAGGTGGGGTGTGATTTTGCTTTGTATCTATTTAATTTATTCTGTAGAAACAAACCGGTGAAATTTACGGAGCTTTTCAACCCCAAACTTATTTTTTGAACAAATCAAATTAGCAAGCTGAAATTTGAGAAAAATACCGTAAAAGTGGCTCAGCTTGATGATTTAGGGTAGTTGTGACAACAGATCTAAATCCCCAGGAGGGTGAGAAAAGGGCTCCGACAA